CGGCTGCTAAGCCGCGCGACACTATTTTAGGTAGAATAGGTCTAGTTTTACCGTTCCCATGTCCACATATTCCTGCGACTTTGACAAAAATGAAGCATTACCATTCACATCCGCTACTGGACTCCACACGCGTTCGGACTAACGTCCGAAACTTTTTGTCTATCAATCATAGGTCAGGTCTGGATAAATATTGGCAACGTCAGTCTCATCAAGTCCTTCAATTCAATGAGAAAGCCGGACAACGTCGGGCGTTGAAAAACTGCGGCAAATACCATTGTCAGGGTATTTGCCCCGACACCGGGATCTGGTCCGGGAAGTCCCACCCTTGCAGCGTCACCCCTCCATGCTCCCCTATCGGGGAGAGCCCAATTTCTCATTTCCCATCTGTTTTGCGCATAGGGATTACTACTACGCCATTCGTAACGATGAGGGGCGGCTCGAAGAGACCCCGTTCCACGAGTTGTCGCAGCTTGAGGCGTCTGGAGGTCATCCCTTCCTCCCCATCCTCCCCTTGTGTAGCCGTCCGTGCACCGGGTGCTGGGGTGGGGGGGTGTTGAGAGTGCTCGTGATCCGGGGCGGGTGGAGGGCGGAATCGGCTGCGGGCGATGGCCAGGATTCTTTGGAAGCTGTCTGCCCATGTCAAATGGGTAGGGGGGGCCTTTGTCAGCGCAGCTTTGAGCGTTGGGCTGTTGTTTAAGAGGGTGACCAGTTCCACATACGACACGTCCTAATATCCGTCCCCGCCCGTTACGCCCTCCTTAGCGGTCTCAGACCGTAAATGTTTAATAATCCATTCCGTAATTATCTGAGTCTTCTGATCCAGGTCCATTTCCTGGGGGTGGCCGTTCGGGTCCGTTTGGCTGTCCGCCATTTCAACGTCTGGCGGAGGGGAGGAGGTATCTATGTCGATTAACCGAGCCCCGAAGGCGTCCGAAAAAAAATCCGACGTATGATGTTTGTGTTCTGCCTGCGAGGTCTGCGCGTGCCGCGAACAGTTCTCCTCTAATTCATGCTGCCCTGCCTGTTGCTGTGATGGTTCGGTCGGTAGTGCCGGTTGCTGTGACTGCTTCGCCCTTGCCTGCTGCTTCAACCATACCTGCTGCCCGGGCTGTCCGTTCATAGCCTGCTCAGCTTGCCGCACCTGGTGTGGCTGATGTGACTGTTGTGTCTGTTGTCTCACTTGTGCATGCAACCCGTGGTGCGTCTGCTGTGACTGTGGCTGTTGTGTCACACGCTGTGTCACTTGTTGTGTCAGCTGGGCCTGTTCCTCTTGACCTTGCCCCGTCCTATGTAGTAGTTCTGTCTGGTCCATCTGTTCCGGGGAAGGCAGTGCGTGGTGTGTCTGTATCTGTTGTGGCTCTTGTTGTGCCTGATCCTTCCCCTGATCCTCTCGGCCCCGCCCCTCCTGTCCTGCCTGATGTGCAAGGTGCTGTTCTTGGGGGGGGGGTGCATGGTGGATCTGATCCTTGGGCCCTCTCATCTGTAGCATGTTTTCCTTCTGTCGAGCATCAGCCCGGTCCTCTCCCCCCTCCTCCTTCTTCACCAGAGGGCGGCACGTGATCTGGGGTCGCACAGATGTCCTGGTTTTCTCCCCGGTTTTCCATCATTACAATTTCCCGACTTTCCTGACTTGTCTGGCCCTCCTCCTGCCCAAGATTCTCGTTTCTTTCTCCCTGGTTTCCCATCATTACAATCTCCTGACTTCCCTGACATGTCTGGCCCTCTCATGCCCATTCCCATCTCCCCCCAACAGTGGAGTAAACCTGTTGGCCATGGATTCAATGCCTGTTTTAGGCTGTACTTCTAAAAGTTTCTTGTTCCTTTGCTTATTTCCCCTGGCATTTTCCCACAGTTCCTTTTTTTCTGCCCTCGCAGGGGTTGACTGTTGCAGGTGGGATTCCAAGGTTCTCGGAGGAGTCCAGGCCGCTGGTGGTCTGGTGTCTTGTCGTGGTTCGCCCTGGCCGTCCCATGTCCAGCCTACTMCCCCCCCCCCCCCCCYCCCYTGTGCCGGTTCATCTATGTAGACCCATCCTTCATGGCCTGGGTCGACTGGCCGCCACCGGGTATCTGCAAAAGGGTCCTTTTGCAAGCGTCCTGTGGGTTTAGCTGCTCGAGAAGGGTGACGGGTGCACGCTGTGTCTGTGTATAAATGCATGTAGGCCTGACATTTGACACACCAGGGCTGTAGTTTGTGGGCGGTATGGATGCAATAAAATTTCCCCCCGATGCAGTAAGGGATTATGTCATCGATAGTGAAGATCTGACCCTCATCTAGTCGTATGACTAGCATGAGGTAGTCATCTCGCCTTGGGACGTGCGGTGGGAGGGGGTCGATGAAGTCGACCACGTCAAATTTCTCTGCGAAATCTTGTATGAACGCAGCCTGAATCTCGATCAGGATGTGCCTAAACTCTACCCCAGAAATATTCTCTCATCAGTTGCTCCCTCCGCTCTTCCGGTCGCTGTTGTTTCGGGGGGGGACCAGGGATAGATCCGGACCTCGGATCCTCCACAGCGAAGTGATCTCCATCCGTCCATTGGTTTCTTGTCTGCATCGTACATGCAGATGACCGTGATAATAAATGATGAGATTGGCTGTATGAGAAAAAACTCATGCGCTCCCTCGACAGACCCCTTAAAGGCTCCCAGGCGTTCTCTAATCCAACCCACCTTGTCGCTCGTAGACTTAAATGCGGCATCGTCGTGAAATGCCCGGTTGCTGGCGTGCCGCATGTACAGTTCATCACGCGTTTTAACGGTTTCCCCGGGGAGAGCTTTGACAATAGTGGATCTGCCCCCCTGATGTAAAATTTTGTTTTCCGAGGCCGAAAGGAGGTGGGTCAAAAAAAAGGCTCCCACCGTTGTCGAGTTCCCCAGCGGAATTCTCCATTCTTCCTTTTGTTCCCCTACATCTCCTTCTTTCTTCCGTTGAATTGTTATTGTTTCATCAGAAAAACGCTTCCTTACCCTGTCTGCCCATGATTTGAGGGTGGCGTCAGTGGCGTCCTGTACCCCTACTTGACTGGCCTGACTCCCTGACGTGCCGTTATCTGCCTGCCCCTCTTTTTGCCCCTCCCCTGCCCTTACCCTCTCGCGGGGCTCCCCCTGCCTGATCCCTTCAAGGCACCCCTGGGCGTAGTGCCTGGCTATGATACCTAGCACAACTCCTCCCTCCAGGTATGAAAAAATTCTTCATCAACCCATTTTTGGCAATCGCTGGATAACTGATCGAAATGGGAGAGTCTATATCAGCTTTGGTTCCCCTTGGACCACATGGGTTAAACATGGTACTGTGAGAATCAGAGATATATGGGATCCGTTGGTGAAGGATTGGAAGTCAGAAGAAAGAATGTGTAAATAAATTAAATATGCACTGCTGATGTTCATAGGGGGAGGGGACCGGAGGGGAGGCACGGTGACTGGCCCATCGAAGAAGCTCGGTCCTGATGCTACCGGCTGACCCCTGGCCGGTATCGCCCACCTGCTGTAGCAGGTATCGCACCTGTTGGTGGGTGGCACTGGGTGTAGCTCCCGCATGTTCCCTGGTTGGAGGCTTGAGCACGGATGTGGCTGCTACGGGGTTCCCCGTAATACTATAATGACAATAAAAAAGGCCTGAAAGGCCGTCCTGTCCAGATTTGACAGGTAATTGAATTGGTTGGGCTTAAAGAATTAGCCTTTAAAACAAAACAAAAAATTAAATATGCACATAATCTACAAGAGAATCTAGATCAGATCCTCTCTTCCCTTCCTTTTTTTTTTTTTTTTTTAAATCGTCCCTTCCTTTGGCGTGGCTGGTAACCTTAAGGAAAGGGCAGGCATTTGTAGGGGCTGATTGGATTTGTGGAGTCAGACCAGATGGATATCATCAAGTAGTGGGACAAATCATTGACACAAGGCCGGATGGGGTGCTAGTGAATTTCTTTGCAATGCATAGGGATCATATGTTGTCACAAGCTCAGAAGAATACCATCTCCTTGAAGTTTTTCCTGCTCAATTCTATGTATAGGATTCGGGTCGTGTACTGTTCCTACCTAAAAAGATGGCGAGTTTTTTTTCCCTAACATTCCTATTCCGCATCTTCCTTTGGATCCGGAAGAGTGGGTCTGGAGATCCTCAAGGAGGAACAAGCCCCATAAGTTGCAAACATTGTCGGTCAAGGCCTCTTATCGATTGTTAAGACCTAGGGTGGATGTGACTGCAATAATGCAGGTAAGGTGGGTTAGGCATTTAAATATTAATCTAGAACCACTCAAGTCATTCCCCATGGTGTAAAGGATTCAAGGAAAGGCCGACAAAATTTGCCTCTCTTCAATGGCAAATATCTCATAGATGCCTACCTACCATACTTGCAAGCGGACGCCGTCCGGGCGGTTCTGCACGTGCGGCAGACCGCCGGACCGGACCCGCGCGGCACACGAATGTGCGCCCGACGACCAGTTACGCCCCACCCCAAAAAAAAAAACAAAAAAAAAAACACCCCCGTCCGGTCCGGTCCGGGTCCGTCTGGTCCGGGGGGAGGGTGCCGCACGCGGCAAAGCGGACCAGACCGGACGCTCGTCCGGTCCGTCTGCTTGCAAGTATGCTACCTACTTTTTTTTTTTTTTTTTTTTGGCGAAAGCATGCTAGCGTTGCTGATAAGAGCAGTAGCATGCTCGGGGAGGCTCCATCTATTGGTGGGGAGCAACACCTACTGGAAAACGGGTCCAGCGTTCCTTCAACATTTGAAAGTGATTATTATGGAGGTATTTGAGCTCATAAGGGCAAGCCACATGTCCTTTCCAGTGATCATCAAAACCGACACGCCAGCACTCCAAACACCCGATGAGCAGCATTGATTGCCCTCAACTGAGGGGATTAACTGCCCATCCAGATCCGAAATCATATCCCTACTCTAGAATCCTCATTGTCTACCACAGGAATCGTTAACATGCCATGAGGAAGAGAGGTAATCAGCTATAGGGATAGAAAATCAATTAACCCTACCCCTCTTCGATACTATCATTCATCAATCTTTATCTGCTCTGAGCACGTCATCAGGCGGACAAAGGCGAAAGCAAACCAATAGCACCTTGATCGATGAACAGGAGGGGTAATCAGGAGAGAGCCTGCCCGTTATCATTGCCTTGGTCAGATATGCATTCGCCAGCTGTTTTATCCGTGTCGTTACAAGCAGTGCATCGATAATCGCAGCAGTCGATGGTGTTTCCAATCATGTTGACGGCAGCTATACTATCATTTTTATTGTCATCGAAATTGCTGTTGTTGACATCGCTGATGCCATTACCGTTATCGACAACAACCTCGGGGAAAACGGCATCACCAGCTTCAAAGAGATCGTCACCAGCGTTGTTGTGGTCGCCAGTGTTATGACTACCGTTGTTGTCGCTGTTCTTGCTGATATTGATGTTGTTGTTATTGTCATCGGCAACAATATTGCTCACTTCGAAGTAATTGTCACCATTATTGTCGTCGTCATTGTTATGCCCATTGATATTATGATTATCATCGCCGGCGATGTCGTTGCTCTCTGTGCTGAAGTTGGTGTTGAGATGACTGCCGATCATACTCGCATCGTTGTCACGCTCCTCCAGTTCGACGTAAGAGCCCTGCCCCTCCTCAAGCCTCCCACGGTAAAGTACACCCTCCGCTACATACGAACAATCCTGTGACATAGTGCGCAGCCGCTGCCCCTCCTCAGGCACCTCGCAGCAGCACCATTTCACATCATCACACCTCAAACTCCCATACAGCTCCTCCCTGAGTTCATCAAAGATTCTCCTCACTTTCTTAAGCACTTCAGCACAACCACCCAACTCCACCATCACCTGCGCCTTCTCAATCGCGCCCGRCCGTTGAGACGAAAKATCTGCATGGAGCTCCGCGTCCCAACCACTAACCAACTCCTCACCCTCCTCGAGAAGATCCGCTGGTAGATTGGGCCTATGTTGAATAAGCGCAGTATGAATCTCCTCCATCTGTTGCTTGTGCATCCACACAATCTCCAGCGCAGCTCCCTCCTCTCCAAGCATGGCGGCAGCGATGGCATCTTGCACAGATGCCGCCTCCATCTCCATCTGCGCCGTTGATGAAGCCATAGGTGAGCCCGCTATTTGTTATTACTATTGCTGACAGTGTTATTATTTCTTACTCTGTTGTCGAAGCCGCTCCCCTAGCAACCACGCCACGTCGTTACTCCAAGCTTGATTACTTCTCGCCGACATGCCGTCCCCTGCAACTGCCACGTGGAAAACCCCACCCACACCCAGGCCGAAGCACCGGGCGGGCAACAGGATGACCAATCCATCATTCATCTCCAGAGCAAAAAGGTTAAGCTCTCCCTTGGTGTCGTCAAGCTTGTGTCGAAGCGTTTCCAAGTAGGAAAATCAGGGGAACAATGAAGCGTGTATTCCCACAATGTAGAGGAGCAAAATTACTATGGAGAAGATGGGACTATGTATGGAACAAACTAATTGGGTTAGACTGGCCTTTGAATTGGAAAGTGATCCTGTTGGGGCACTGGAACCCTATTACAATTGACTTATCTGTTTTTCAGCAAAACCTTTTTGATATGGGGAGAAAAGCTGTGTTGTGGACATTATGGTATAAACGCTGTGTGCATGTTTTGAAGAAAGTGAGAATAGAAGGGGAGAAACCCTCCGGGCTAATCCAACAATTTATACAAATAGAAATCAGGGATCAGTGGGTCAAATTAAAAACAGATTAAGGGAGTCTGCATTTAAAGATGGGGAAAAAAAAAAACTGTTGAAATTCACACTGGACTGGTTGGGGGATGCCTAGGGGAGAGACTGGGAGCAAGGTCCCACTTGCACGTATTACAAGATTCTGACCGTTGATCTGTGATATCTACGGTCAATATCTCTTAATCCGTGTAAGTGGGACCTAGCCCTGGGAAATGTGGTTTGGCCAGGGGGGGAACTTGAAGGGGAGAATGTCTCTTTCATATTTCCTTTCATCCGAGATCCGCCCAGGAGCTTTATTGAGATCTCCAGAATTATTCCCTGATCCCTTTCCTCCCTCTGAGCTAGCTTTGGTGGATATGGATTGGTTTGGTAGAGGGGACGGGTAATCACCGTAATCTCATTTTCTCTGTTCAGTCTTTTTATATTTCATAAACTCTCCTCTGAGCTAGGGATGGTTAAAATGGAGTGTTTTGATCTACCGACAATGTAAAGGATCGAATTCGCAAGATTAAAATTCTCTATTTTGGAATGCTGCTGTGTTTATTAGGTAGATCTGCTAGACTGATTCACTGTATCTGGCGGCTCAGAATGGGCTGAAGAGGCAGGATTCTTTTTTTTTTTTTTTTTGGAAAAGAGCTCCATCTATTGGTGGGGAGCATCACCTGCTGGAAACCGGGTCCAGCGTCCCATAGATACAACCATATCCTCATAAATTGGCACTAACTGGAACCGGGCCCAGCGTCCCATTACTCAGAAAATTACGTAGAAAACTTCAGAAATAGGCAAAATTTCAAAAAACAACTCAGAGACCCCCCAACGGCTTCTGACGACTTCTGAAGAGGCAGGATTCTACTTTCAAACTCTATAAGCTTTCTGGTAATTGCTCGTACCACCACCCCTAGCATTCACTTGGGGTTAAAATAAAAAAAAATAAAAAAATAAAAAAAGCAAGCTTTCTGGTAATTATGTAAGGGACGCTGGACCCTGTTTCCAGCAGGTGCAGCTCCCCACTAATAGATGGAGCGGCCTATCCTAGGTCTACTAGGGGGGGCTGCTCATATCTCCTTGTTTAATACTAGGCTAATAGATCTACTATATTGGCCTTAAAAAAAAAAAAAAAAAAAAAAAAAGGACATCAACTTACCTATCAACTAGGGGTACCAGTCCCCCTATCGACTAGGCTATCAATTAGGCTATCTACGAGGCTATCAATTAGGTTATCAACAACGATCTTAAGTCTACTGTGCTAGATGGGAGACGCTGTGCACCCTCATGAAGAGCTGTAGTAGCATGTTCATACCTAGCTCCCGAAGACCCAGTGCAATTGGGCTTGCACGGCATCTGCTTCACCCGGGGCTGAGCAGGGGGTAGGGGTCTCTGCTTAGCCCGGGTGCCTGCAACCGCTGTCTGGTCAGGTCACCCCACCAAGATGGTGATGGGTGATGGCCCTGGGTGGTTAACTCTAGGGTAGGACATGGGGGGTGTGGGTGCACCAGGCAAAAGATGAGAGGAACGGTGGGTGGGATCTTCAGAGGGGTTCATCTGGACATCCCAATGGCCAATTACTGTGGGTGACTGTCATCTGTCTAGTATCCCACCTCTGCAACAACCTGGACTTAAAAGCGGTGGTGGATACCGAACAAATAAACAGGCGCGGTGCTAGCGGGAGCTTTGGCTGCACGCGCTGATTACATTGAAGTAACAACGAGACAAGGACTGACGGTGAGATAGACGCGAATGACAAGCGGAGATATCTTACGGAAGAATGGATTGCTGTAATGGACGAAGGGCACAAGCGGCTGCAGACGATAGTTGGGGAGCTCAAGCGGTGGCGGCAGGAAGGGATGGACAGCAATGGGGGAGCGATTCGATGGATCGGTGGTTGGAGGACAGATCTCAGGACATGTTAGACAGTATATGGGAGCTGGAGGAGGGGCCGGACCCCCAATTCGAAGTCTACATCGACTGGGAGCGCGTGGGTGAAAGGATGAGGGCTTGCAAAACCCTCTATGCAGTGGGGACCGACCTGTGCGACCAACTGGAAGAGCGGCAGAGATGCGGCGAGAAGGAAGAGATGGGCGACAACGCCGATAAGGACGACGGCGTGAAGGGGGGTTTCCAGGTCGACAACGACAAAGCCAACGACGACAATATGAACAACGACGATGCCGCTGAGGTTGTCAATAACAATACTGACAACAACATTGATGACAACAACAACAACAATAACAGCAACAACAACAACAACAGTGACAACTACAACAACTACAATACCAACAACGACAACAACGGCGAGGATAAAGGGGGCGACGACCAAGGAAGCAGCGGGGCGGTTGATGGCATCCATGCATCTGAGATTATCATTAGCATGAAGGGGTGGATGCTCTTCGTGGTTTGGCAGAGGGCGTGGGGTGGGTTAACTGGTGGTGCTCGTTGTTGCCCTGCCCACAATATTGTTGGTTCGCGGCGGGCTCGTTGGGGAGGGAAGGAATCGAGGGAGGTCAATCCTTCCCTGCGCAGGGAAGTAATCAACGTCCCCTGCCTGTGTAACAGTCTTGGTTGGCGAACTATCTCATGTCCTGCTTAGGGTTTCGTGTTTTCACTTCGGAAGATGACGAATCGAGATATAGAGATAATTTCTGATTGCGGGTCATAATCATACAACGCGCTGTCTTAGCCGATACAGATCATATCGTGGCAATTAGTGTTACAGCGTCCTTACGGCCCGTTTGATAGGTTCGTGCGTTTGGTTTTGGAGGTCTCATTGATTAGATGAGTAGGGAAGCTGGACCCGTTTTCCAGCATAGACTGTGCTTCACGCTGAATGGACGCTGAATTCGTTGCCACCTGATACAATTGAATCATTGAACCATTGTACAGGGACGCTGGACCCGATTTCCAGCAGGTGCAGCTCCCCACCAATAGATGGAGCCTTCGACGTGGGGACCTACTTACAGAGGGTGCTCTTATCACCTCGGTAAGTAGGTTCTTCGCATATGAAGATTTCTTCAAAAAAAAACAGATCTGAAAAGTTCCGGTCAAAGGTGAGGAGCACAAGAGACCCTTTCGCGGCAAATAGCTGAAAGGAGGGGGGACTATCAATGAAGCTGTGTTATCTTGTACCGGGTTTACAGGGTAGAGAGCGAGACTTGGGACCATTGGCTGCATAACGTACATGGGGTAGAGTCCCATAGGAACTTATCCCAGGTCCTGGGACAGCACAACACAAGGAAAGGAGGAGGACTGAGACGAAGAGGCAGCAAGCAGCGCTACAACATCAAGCAGGTCCCCAAACGACCTGTAGGAAGAAGCGGGGGCTACACACCATCAGCGATGGCTTGATCTCGACAGTGGCTCTGATCCCCCGAAGACCGACATTTTCAACCACTCACCCAATGGGGCAGTGGTTTCCTTTCCTTGCTAGCAAACAGACACAGTCAAACACTCGATCAACCTTCCTGCTCAATCCTTTCTTGCTCCTGCTATCAAAAAGATACAGTCATACAGAGTCACATCTACTGGGCGGGTTGCAGGCACCTGGAAGGAAGCTTTGCCTAATAAGCAACGGAGGGAACAGGACAGGAGGAGACAGGTGGCAAAATTCCAGGAGGGGGCTGGGCCAGTACAAAGTGGGAGCTATGGAAGATGGTGACCTATGCAGCCCCAAGGGAAATATGAGGCTCCAGGCTAAGATCTGAAATGGCCATAGTCCCAAGACACTATGCAAAAATGCTGTATGTATGGGATGCTGGACCCAGTTTCCAGCAGGTGTCACTCCCCACCAGTAGATCTGTCTCTTATACACATCTAGATGTGTATAAGAGACAGGTACTGGCCCCAACCCCCGTGCTCGGAGTGCTTG